ATCAGATAGCACTAAGTACAAAACTGAAAAATGATTGCATTTGAAGGATAAAAAGAGAAAGTTATGTAGAAAGGAGATAAAGAGCAGCAGAAAAATATTCAGAACAGCACACTGTCGGATGAACCAAGAAGTACATCTTAAGAAAGACGAAACAGTCTATAATAATGATAATAATCGTGATAAAAAAAATATAGCTACAAACAATGTTTACCAGTGAGGAGCCAAGTACTTGGCACGCATCACCTCACTGAATTGTCACAGCACATTCTGAGTCATTTTCCCCATTTTTACAGATGAAATCAAGCTTTAAAGAGGTTAGTAAATGACTAACCACAGTTCCCACTATTCCCGAGAGGGAATAGCAGAGCCTGTATTTAAATCCAGGTCATCTGACTCGAGAGCCCAAGTTCCTGACCGCTACACATACGGACGGCCTCCTTTCATCAAAAGACGAACAGGGAGAAAAGGCCTCTGACTCGGTGACCAGGTCCACTGAGAGCCATCTCGGCAGACAGACTGGGACAGAGGGCACATTCTGAAAGGTTGCAAAGTGAGTGGGTAGCAAAGAAGTCATGAAAGCAAGTATAAAAATCTGCATATGAAAGGAAGGAAAGAGAGTGTGCTAAGTAAACAGGTCTAGGCAATAAAATTGTTTTGTTTTTTCTTTTAAGGGTGAGAAGGCTTAGCACAGGTTATCAATTCTGGGCCTGTCTTTGTAAATAAAGTTTTATTGGAACAGCCACACTCATTCATGAAGATACTGTCTATGGCTGCTTTTGCTCTACAATAGCACAGCTGAGTAGTTGCAACGGAGACCATTCAGGCTGTAAAGCCTATTTACTGTTTGGTTTTTTATAGAAGAAGTTTGCTAACTCTTGATTAAGAGGGTTTATAAGATGGAAAAGAAGAGATCAAAAGCAGAGGTGGAATGTTGAGTCATGTGAAGGTCAGAGGTGGAGTGTCGTCATGTGAAGGTCTTTCCTAAACAAAGACCAGAGACAAAAACAAATATGTGAACAATTATGAGACTTCAATGTTTCACTGAAACATATTTCAATCCCTCAGTGTCACCCGGGAATGATGACTGGCTATGCGGTTGGCAGAAGTAGTCACAGAGGGTCTATTCTTTCTGTCTTCCTATTTCTGGAAACTTCAATAAGAAGTTTCAATAAGGAGATAAATCTCTCCTAAGGTGACTGAAACAATTAAAGTCTGAAAACTGCTAATCATCATGTCCTAAGAAATCCTCAAAGCAAAAAGGTGGCAGTATACCTACTACACAATGACTCAAATAATTCAGAATGATTTATTCACCCATGCAGAATGAAACATCTGTATATGCCTCCTGTGTATAATTTCCTCTTGATTGAGAAGACAAAACATACTTTTAAGAATTAGCATTAAAAGTTGTGGCAGTAATTTTTTGGGATGAGCAAAACCCCTGTAAATGAGGAAAAAAGTTAAAAGGATACTGTATTAAGAAAAGCCTGCATTATGGTAGCTCATAAAGAAACCCAAGGCAAAGGTTCAATGTAAGATTTTAGCACTCTCATTGCTTTTAATGTTAAACACTAAAACCAGGAAATAACAGTAAACCATAAAGTACTAAAGGCTAATACTGGTCCCTTGCAGGAAAAAAATTTAGATTTTTTTAAGGCACTGGTAAGGTCAAAATAATGTTTTCCTTCTCAAAACTCCCTGTTACTTCACTAATATTCATAATTACTGTTTTTCTTTTTCTCAACACATATCGCTTTACTTTTTCTTATATAAATAATACATGCTTACTGTAAAGCATTCAAACAATACTGTGAAGTATAAGAGAATAAAAATCACCTAATCACAGCACCTGAGAGAACCATCATTAACATTTTGGTGAACACTCT